TTTACCCACGGTTTAGACTTTTACCATAATAAAAGATACATCTACATATTTGATAATTTTGGAAATCCCTGTTTTCAAATCTAACTAAAGTCTTGCCTGCATCTCCTCCCTCCCCAGCCTTAAAAGCACCAATTTATGTTTTAAGTCCCTGTGCTTATCATCTTTATCTTTCAGGAAGTTCCAAAGATGCATCACAGTCATTTTATTGGGGATGCAAGAGAACACAAAGTTGAGCAGTTGTGATGATGCCAAGCAGAATTCTATCCACCCAAGCAATCACTGAAGAGGAAAAAAAAACCAAAACTATTTTACTGGACAGTTTAGAAGTGACTACTGAGATAAACATTTACAGTAAAAGAAAGGCAGTTTGATCTCTGCATCAATACAGGAGAGTCTAGCACAACCTGGACACACTTCACCAGGGTAAATCCAGACCTTTTTATCCAAGTCAAACTCATTGTGACAATGAAACCCTTCATGCTTGTGTAGTTAATCATTGTCTTGCTTTAACATTGGAACACTTCTGTGCTGAAAGCCCGTGTTTTCTGAATAACCTGTATTTACACATTTGTAATCTGTCGACAATACAACAGCATTCCAAGTCTTAAAATATGTAATTTAGTCAGTATAAGTGAATAGTCTGCCCCACTAAGGTCTCTATTTACGAAGCTGTATTTTCAGAGCTTATTTTAAGGGCAGCCATTCTAATTCATATTCAAAGATGTCTTTTCTCCAAACAGTTCATTTGATGCTATATGGGGAATAGCAGAAGTTTCCCCGCCTCCCCTTTTCTTAAATACTTGTCATAGCATAAATGTTTCCTGCTAAGGGGTTAATTCCAGCTACCTCTGATAGCCTGTTCCAGACAGAAAGTCCTAAACTTTTAATGCAACACAAGAATTGAAACAAACCTTCTTCTTTTTGTCTGAACCCTAGGAATACCCCAGCCAAAAGGAATCGTCAAAGCTTTTAGCTCCCACGCCTTCCATACCACATCAAGTATGCTTTGATACATAATCCCAGTCCACATGCTAAAAAATGTGTATACTTCTACAGCTAGACTCACAAATTTAAGAGTCAATGTTGAGGGAGTAAAGGGGATGTTTCTTAAGAGTTCAAAGCAACAGAAAAATAAGAAAGAAAAATCTTTAAATGTCAAAATGACCTATAGCCCTGCTTTGAACACGGACAAATGAAACATCTTTATTAGGATTTTGACAGAGTAGGCAAAAATACATTCTAGTGTAGCAGAACAAAATGTGTTTCTGAGCTGTCATTAAAAGTCTGACAGATGCAGCTTTTCACAAATATGAACAGATCCACCAGAAAAAAAGCACAGAGATGTTCCTTCTGGCTAGCCTCAAGAAGTATCTGATTATCAAAGAATTACTTCCTGGCTTACATATACAGAGACATTACAATTCCAGAATATTGGGCTGCCCACAGAGTCCATCTATACAGATAGAATGAGCATGTTTCTGAATTGATAGTACTACTTACATAAGCAATTTAACTACAGCCACTGCATGCAAGGGTATACTATACTATTATTTAGATTTATTCTGACAACTATCAGAACTGTGGCTGCTGTGAATTTGCCTTTCTAAGCACACTCACAGCATCAATTAATTTTGGAATTACTGCAAGTTATGGCATGAAAAGATCATAATGGATCTTTTAATTTTGTTTTGTTTTTTCTTACCTTGTGTAACCTTGCTTTGTAGGCTGAGCTGACACAGCATACATTCCTATAATTAAGGCACCTACATGAGTGCTGAAAAACCTCCTGCAAATACTGAATATAAATCTGAATATAAATAATAGGTTTAAAGCCAGAAGGAAACATTCTCTTACTTCACATTATATTTCATTAAATTCTAATGTGTCAAACCTTATAAATAATTAAAACAAGCTACCTTCTCCAGAAGTGCAGTCAGTTTTTTTATTTGAAGACAGAGACAGAGAATTTGTTGTCTCTACATACAGTTATAGTGAGGGGAAAGGTGTGATCTTTCTGTTAAAATGTGGGCTTTTTTAAAAATTCAGGTTCAGGCTACTGGTTCTTGGTCAGCCTTTCTCTGCTGAGATAGAGTTGTTTGCATTTAGTAGTTTTTCATCTTCAAGATACATGTATATTAATCAGTCTTCTTAATGTCATTTATACAGTATTAGCTCTTGCATAACCTTTTCTCCTCTGCTCAATCACCTGTACTTCTGTGGCTTACCCCCATTTCAATATCCTTTCTGAAATGTACACACACCTTCCTTAAGACTCCACAACAATAAAGTTTTCTCCTGCTGCTTATTTTTCTCCTATTTATGCAAGAAACATTTCAGTATCTTGGCTCACGATAAGAACATTTGTCCAGTTCCAATATTTAATTCTATGTAGGATAGTCTCCATATTCCTAGAATCAGCCATTTTGGACATCTTTCAGATTCTGTGCTCATACATACATAACCTGGCATTCAGTTGCCTTGAAATGATAAAGTCACACATTACCAACTTAAATTGGCAAAAAACCCCCAGTCTGTCTTTGGAGTAAATGCCATTTTTTTTTCTACCCAAAAATTGTTTAAGAAAATTGACTAATATAGGTCTTGGAACCTTTCCCAGGAAATCCTTTTGGAAATGCCAATAATTCTTTACTAACATCTTAGAGGGTAGTTTTGAAGGCAGTTTCACATCATCACATCACACAGAAAGAGCATGTACAATATTTTGCAATTCCTGCTTCCAAATAAAATGAATTTAGAGATCAACACTACCATAATTTCCACCACCCCCCCAAATAGGGAACATTCACAGCCTAGTGACAAACTAAGAATAATGTTCAAGCTGCACTTTGATTTTGACACATCAGCAGATATTAGGTTCAGTCTTTCAATAAGGAATCCTGTAAGGGAGACAGGAAATTAAACATTTACATCCTTCTTCCTCCAACACTTCCTCACAATCTTACTAACTTTAATGTCAAAGCCTACAGTCTTTATCCAGACACACTTCATGGCTTTCAAGTAAGAAGATGAAATTTCATAGGCAATTATTTAGCTTGGAAGAGTTGAAAATAAACAAACACATTTATTTCTGTAGGTTTGAGAGATTTTTGCTAGCTTCCCATCAGCTGAATTTAAGCTGACAGAACCTGGTGAATAAGTGACTAATATTTCATTATGTAGCACTTTCCAGAAGCAGCCTTCCAGGTCATGTGATAACTGCTATCTTCAAGCCACTATCATGTTATGTCACATAAAAACCTCATTTTAATTACTAGACTTACCTAAGAAAGTACTAGTCAACGAAGAAAGAGACTAGATGATGGATGGCATTATTTAATAATTTTCCTCAACTGTCCACAAGGCATTGGCTCCCAGGTTGCTAATGAATCAGTTTTTGCATTTAGAGCTAAACTAATCAGTGCAACATACTTTAAAACAGGCTGTTTTAAGTTGTGGTAGTAGTTGAACATGTAGGTACAGACTGTCAGTCACCCACACTGAAGTCTGTCTGTGATGAACTTGACCTCAAGAACATATACAAAATAAAAGCTACGACAGAGGGCCATAAAGGACAGCAAGTCTGTCACAAGAAGGGACTAGACAATTGAAATGGGCCTTGTTTTTCAGAGAATTCCAATTCTTTCTCCAAATCCTGACAGCACAAAAACATCTTTTGCATATCTACCTCTCACAGACACTGAATGAGGACCTCAATGACTACTACCATGTCCAAAAGAAACTGTATGCTTTCACACACTAAGCTCTTTTCAATAGGAAAGAAAGTACTGGCAGCCTATAGATGTATATCTCAGAAAGATAGTATGCCACTTCTGTCACATTTAACAAGGTAGGGAAGGTACAGTAAGAAACAGAGGCACTGAAATGCCTTTTCCAACATATATCTGCTCTCAGTCTACAAGTGGACAAGATTTGCTGATGCTACAGTAAAAGCATGAATACTCACAATTACAAAGTGGGCTGAAGCCATGTTGTAACCCTTTTCATTATTTAATCTGTTTTCTAGAAATGAATTGTCCTTATGTCTGGTATGAAGATAATCATCATATAGCTAGAGTTAAGTTTATCGTGTAGCAACTAGACACCTGCTCTTCCACTCTTAATTTCACTTAGTTTAGTAGCAACAACTGCTGAGCAGAAGTTGACTATAATTTATTGGTACATAACCATGACATTGTTTAAATCTACAGAGACAGATAAAACAGGGGTTAAAGAAGAGGCCTTTTTATTATGGGCTTTCTCTGTGTGTTAAGGTAAACTGGGAGGAAGAAGACGAGATGACACTTGTAGTATTTCCCTTCCCCCCAAACATTCAAAACAAGTGTAGATGTTGCTGGTTCTTGCAGATTAGTTCAGTCAGGTTTGTCCCAATTAGGTTAGAATCATAGGAAAGCCATTTAAAAATAGTTCCACTGTCAAGGGAAGAGTCAGATGCAATACACTTTAGTATATATTTCCTACATGTGGTCTTTTGCAAATAAAATTTCCAGTTACACCCTGAAGTGCCTAAGCACTAAAACAGTAATCATTTAAACCACATGAAAAGCTGTTTCTCACATACAAAAAGGTCAGTCAAGCAATTCAGATCTTGAACTAGATCCTTCCATGATTATTAACTGAATTATAACCATATGTGGCTATATGGTATAACCATATGCTCCAAGTAGAGGTGAAGGCCAGTATACACTGACCCCTCACACAGATACGAAGGTGAGCTGAAGTCATAAGCATATTCCTGATATATCAGTCATTGTGTACTCTCTATGTCAGACTTATCAGGTGCTGTCTCAGCTGAAACAGCAATATAATCTAGCACATTAGAAATGGCTCATGTACAGTGTTATGACATTAACTGCAGATTTCCTCAAGCCTTCTGTCACTGGATGCCAGGAAACAGACAGGCAGGAGCTATTCTCACATGTGACTATTACAGCCTAGTAATGTTCCATTCCTAAAACTGGATGCCAGCTAATACCTCAGCTTCAGCAGACTCGTAGTTCATTCTCTAAGGCATAGATTTTTGCTTTTAAGTTTTTTAGTTCTCCTTGGATTTTACGGGTTAGTCTGTTTTCTTGGCAGACCTCGCGAAGAATTGCAAGATCCGGGTCGGGGCCAATATTCAGAGTCAACTAAAAAGGAAAAGAAAAACCAGTTAAGAAAAATAAAGCTGAACAGAATACAATTTAGAGAGTATTATGAGGAGATGAGGGGAAGAAACTCTTAAATATAGTCTTTGTAGCTAGCAAAGAGGATGCTTAGGCTAATATAATTAGGTTAATGTACATCAATAATAGAAAGGTGCTCCAGAACCAAAAATAAAGAGCAAAGCTTTAATACATTATGGTATTTTATTACTGGTGAGGAAGAATCTGGATAGTACATAAATTATACCCATAACCTGTTGACTTTTTTCTAATTCCTGTATTATTCAGAGACCCACAGGAAGAGGCAAGTTAATGTATTTATCAACTAACTTTCATCTAGGTCTAAGTAACTGACCTGATACTTGTCTTTTTGCTACTAGAACTAGAGGTGGCTTAACTGCTGTGGCCAATCTGCTGCCTTCTGAACTGCATATGATTCAAGAGCAGTTCAAGTACAGCACCCAGTCTCAAGCCATGCCATATGGCCACTGAGCTGAACAAAGGCTACTGGATAATCAGAATTCCTGATGGCAAGCTATCCAGGGTTGCAATTTCCTGTCACCCTGGAACTGGAGATCATGTCAGCCCAGTCACTTTCAATGGCAAAGCAGCACAGTCTTGCAAGCTGCTCTCAAAGCCCTCATCTACCGATACTCTAGGGTGTTTCATTGTCATGTAGTTCTTTGTCAAATATTTTAACATGCAAATCAGAAAATTTAGTCATCCTTTTGACCTCGAGTGATGAGAAGAATTTAAAGAACACTCTGGAGACTTTATCAAGTCTTTTGTTCCTCTGCCCTCTTGTGGCTAAAAGTGTAAAGAAATTAAGAATACAATTACGACCACATCCTCAGTTAAAAACCATACAGGTCTGTAGTAAAGGTATCAAAGGCAATTTTTCCTGCATTCACATATGCTGTTTAGTCCTTAAATAATAAAGCTGAAAAACCTACAGCCCAACAAAAAAAAAGATCAAAGCCTTTAGTGAAGTGTTAGTTTAGTGTCAAAGTAAACTCAACTGTGTGCCAAGAAGTACAGAAAAAGTCAATCAGTGGGACACTGCCAGACTCCTAAGCAAGTCAGTTGGACAAAAGCAGCTATGCCTAGATTATTCTCTCACACATCTTAGATAATAAATATCTCAAAGTAACAGCAAGGCTGTGGTTCCCTTCTAAGCTGTTCTGCTGTTCATCTACACATCTGGAAGCTACTACACAGTACACAGCTTCAAATTCCAGCCATTGCTTTTGCAGTGATTTTTGCAGAGTTACAAATGAGGTATTATCAAAGGAATAAATAGAATATTCACAATACTTAAGTCAATGATCTACCTCTTATGGGAACAAAACCAAACACTATGGCCCCCAGAAGAAAACCAATAATCATTTTCATTGCAGGATATACTTCTGAAGCAAATTACTACCTTGCAATATTAAGACAGCTAAGTGAGTGGAAGATATCAGGTAATAACTTTCAGAGTTGCAACAAAAATACTCAGCTAACATATAATCAGGACAGTTCTTAGCAAGCTTCATGCCTGACTGATTTTTGCTGCATAAAATACATGAGGGCAAGTTTTGTCAAATATTAATATCTAAAGGAGCATTTAGGAAAGAAATTATTTCCTTAACTCTAGGGGAATACTCCAATTAAATATTGAGAATACACCTCTGTAGGGCAAGCCTGTTATAGTCTGCATTAGAATTGCTTAGCTATTACCTTAAAAAGCTGGTTTTCTACATCTTTCAGCTTCTGCCGAAGCTGTTTAATGTCATTCTTGAAGCCTTCCACTTCCATATTACGACGTTTTTCCAAGGCCTCATACCGCTGAGTCATCACCTTCAGGCGTATCCCCACCTTTTCTGAGCGTTTCTGTGGAGATGAAAACCCCATGTGGTCAACAAAATAAAAGCTCCAAGATCATCAAATAGCTAGCACATGGTTACAGACTAATTACCTTTAAGAGTTCTCTGCCAGCATCTCCTTCCTCCTGAATTCTAGCCAGCTCACCTTCCAGACTAATACACTGTGCCCTGTACATGCTTGACAGGTTCCGTTCCTGCATTAGCCGATCTTTCAGCAACTAGGACAGAGGAGGAACACAAAGAAACAACTTAAAAGTAAGCACCTGCAAAATTTCCCCTGCTCTGGAAAAACAAACGTGATAAGATTAACAATATGATAGGCAAATACAAATCAACTGGAGCTACATCTAAGGAAATAATTAAGTAAGGACAATATTCAAACACCACTTCTACTACTGAAACCTCTTAATTGGCTTATCAGTTCTGCATGACTGCTCATCAGTTAAAGAACTCTCTTCTCTTTCCTTTAAAAATATTAAACTAATGCTGTAATTCCCCTTTTCAAAGCTGCTTGCCCACTATTGTATTTCAGAAGTATATGCATTCAGTGATAGATGAAAACAATTCCCTATTGCCTGTTTATTTTCCAATTCCTTATTTGCCTGTTTACCCACTTTGGATCTCCCAGCTTCCCACTGGAAGTAAAGGAAGAAGGAAGTAAAGGAAAAAATAGGTGAAAAACTCTGACTAATATAGAAGACCTGGGAGACAACAATTGAAAGCACATGTTCTCCCCTGATAGCAGGGAGGAAGATCCAGACACTGCATTCTAAGCTTGTTAGCTGAAACCATGTGGACTAAAAGAAAGATGTGCAACAGGCAGGTTAAAAGCTGTTGGCCCACCTATCACATGGCTTACAGAAGCAGGAATTTGTTCTGGGCATAAAAGAAACTTGACAGTGACATGCTACCATAAATCCTAATTTACATTTTATCTGAAAACAACAAACAATGCTGATTTTGAGGCAAGAGAGGGAGTTTTTTTTAGTATTAGTGCCAACAACGTAACTTACAGCAAGCCAGTACAGCTTTGAAACAGCTACTAGCTGCTGCCTGTCTTGGCAACACTCAGATGCTTGCTATTTTCTAGTCAAAACCTCTTAAGGAGCCTCTACCTAGGACAAAAAAATTACCTTTATTTCTTTGCTGTGGAGCTTCCAAGCTCCACCACCTGCTCGAACCACCTTCTTTATATCTTTCTGCTTCTCTCTTCCTGGCGTCCTGCTGATCAGCTGATCAAGGTCTTTGCCAAGTTTCCTCAACAGGCTCTCCTTCTCTGCCATCCATGAGTTCTCACTGGCTCGGGCATCAGACTTCAGCTGAAGAAAATCACGAGTACTCTCATATAAGAGACTTTGGGTCTTATGGAGTCTGTAAAAAGGGATCCCAGTGGAGTTCATTAACTTCTGTCCTAGTTCCTACCTTAATTTCCTCATTCATCATTCCAAGTTGGAAAAGCATGTGCTGATAAGCTGATCAAGGTCTTTGCCAAGTTTCCTCAACAGGCTCTCCTTCTCTGCCATCCATGAGTTCTCACTGGCTCGGGCATCAGACTTCAGCTGAAGAAAATCACGAGTACTCTCATATAAGAGACTTTGGGTCTTATGGAGTCTGTAAAAAGGGATCCCAGTGGAGTTCATTAACTTCTGTCCTAGTTCCTACCTTAATTTCCTCATTCATCATTCCAAGTTGGAAAAGCATGGAAGAAAAAAGATAGGTGCTTTCCTAACAAGTTTAGCTCTTCTTATTTAATGAAAGAGGTTATATCCTTCCCGTGTGAAATAGGATTTTTAATATATAGATTACTTCATTCATCTTCTTCCCCACACACCACCAAACAGATGGCTGCATAATTTGCTTTTCTGCCTGTTGCAGGAAGCAATATACTGAAAGCCAAAGTATTTCTATTGTTCCCCTCTCTTCCCATCTCATGCCTATGTAATGGTCATTCTCACCCACTCACTTATCTGTTAGAGTTTTGATCTTGTCCTGGTCCCTCTGATGCTGGACCTGGGCTTCCTCCATGTGAATCCGCCTGTCCTTTAGTAATGCCTCAACCTGTTCCTTGGATAATCGTGTCTGCTCTTCTAGCTGAGCTTGCAAGGCCTCCACCTCAATAAGCGAAGACAGACATTAATGAGTAAGACCTCAGAGCAGTTCTGCTTCTGTCCTTGCAAGTTTCCTAAATTCCAAGATTCAGATCAAAGTCTACTCAATAGTAAGTTTGAGTGTTTCAATTTATCAAATTTTAATTTTTGTTTTAGTGCTAAGTACTTCAAACAACTAAAACATTAATAAAAATAAGAAAATAAGACAAGACAGGTACATTATAAGCAGCAACAAGAGACAGAAGCTATTAGAAAGATTTAAATTGCACACAGGATGTGACAAATTCTGTGGAATATGCAGAAATACTTCTGTCCTTATGGTGATACAATGAAATGGTGATACAAAAATACCTACATTCTAGGAAGGCAGCAAGTCAACATATCTTGAACAAAAGAAATTGCTCAACCAGAATAAATTACTAAATGTAAACAAGACAATGAGTGAAGGAGAGTGATGCAAAGAATAGTGATCCAGTGCACATAGTCAGGGAGACAAACTGGAACAAGTAACTGAAAAATGCGCATCTGGCCTTTATGTAAAAATCTATCTGAAAAAACTTGGGTGTGTGTTTAGACTGCCTAATATGACAAATTTTGTATGATGCCTTTGCTTCAGAATAAGTATTGTTAGACAGCTAACTGGCCACAGGGTAAGTTACCATTGCACTTGAAGAGAAAAAATAATCTATCTGCTTTTAATCTGCTTTTCTTGACTTCTTCTTCCTCATTATTTGCAGGCAGTTTCTGATATCTTCCCCAATTCCTGATTATGTATTTAGTCTTTCATTCTGTCATGCTGCCTACATCCTTGTCTTTCAACAAAGTCTAGCAAAGGGAGCATTTTGTTGTACTAGTGCATCTTAACAGGACTGCCTATTTCTATCTCAGACACATTGCTTTTGTCAGACTTCCACAAAATACCCCCAACCTTGCAGATCTTCTGTGGGTTTAATGTAAATTCATAGCCACAATCAAATTATGGGAGATAACATCAATCACACATTCTTTATTCAAGGGCAACACATCCCAGTTGACAGTACTGGAATATCTGCTTATGTAAAGCTTTCAGAATCAGAACCAAGTTCTTAAAATTTAAGCCTACATCCATTGCAAAGAAACAGCTAAGTAAACTGACAGAAAGTGGGAACTAATAGTAATATGTGGGGACTGATAAAATTTATATGCCCTACATCTTATCTAAGCATGTCTTGTCTATCATAATTTTCTGGACAACCAAGAATCATGTCCATCAGGTAGCAAACGTTTTTACCTGAAGTAGAAGTGCTTGATTATCTCTCTGGTATCTTTCAGGACTTTGTGGTTTCTTTTCTATTGCTGCTGGTTTTGAAGTGTCCCTCTTGGTGCCTACAGCAGAAATTTAACAGAAGTAGAAAAGGGTTTCCAATCTACCTGCAGTATCTTTCCAAGCGTGAAATAGTCTATGTTCTGGCAGGCCTATAAGAACAGGGAAAAGCTTGCCATTGCTACAGTCACAAGGACTTCTAGGAGCACTAGCTGGAAAAGTTTCAGAACGTACAGTGATCCCACACTTTTATCCCATAGTCACACCATAGTGTTTAGGCAGCCTACTAATTTTCTTGGCATATACAGAAAGCAAATTTAACACATTTTCTTAAATAATTGATAAATAGGCCGATGCTACAGCTGCACAAGCATCAAACCTTGAATGAGTTTTGAGCTTGTTAGCTAATTTCAGTCAATTTTGGAAGCAGCAGTTCTTTCAAAAGACAAAATCAGTACTTAGGCACATAGACCCACACTACTGTCTACACAAAAAGCAGGCAGCAGATGCTGAACACCTTGGAATGACTGTGGCTAAGGATGCCTGTCCCACTGGCACCTGCCTAGTTCCAGAACAGGCATTCTACGGTCATACCAGCCTCTTTCTTACCTGAGCAGATCACAGACATGAGAGCCAGCTCAGATTATTTTAAAATATTTTGAAGGGAAGACAGGAATATTGCATGTAGATGTATGCACATGTGGATATATTCAGGGAACTTAATGGAGGTACACTGAAATATTCACAGTAAGAAAATGTTTTGGCAGACCAGACACAAATGCACAGAAAAACAAGTATAAATAGCTGAGTTGTTCTTAAATCAGCTTGGTGTGGTACCTGTTCCAGGAGTATCCTTTTGTTCACGTGACTTTCTGGATTTAGCTGGCTTTTGCAGAACAGTAACCTATAGAAACAAGATTAGATATTTACACTGAACATTTTCATTCTCCAGAGTTCCAGTGGCCAAGTATAAATCTTAAAGAGTAAAATGAGATATCCAAAAGAACAGCATTACCTTACATCTACCACAAGGCAAGGAAGACATTCACAAGTGTAATGTCCATGTTGAAAAACTTCCTTTATCATGGCTGAGATTTGCCATTTCTGCATCTAGTTTTTTTTTTTCACCAAAACAACTGGAAAGTA